GGTAAATTTTTTGGTAAGAAATAGGAAAGTACCAAATAAATGATAAATACCTTGAACTGAATATTCCACGATATTTAAATAATTGAGAACAGTTGAAAAAAAAAAACTTTAATGGGTCAATCGCCAAAGGCAACTAAACTGATTAGTCGGTATCGCGCCCATTCCCGTATTTTTTTTGGAAATTTATCGTTCGTGAAGAAGGGGGGTGAATAGATGATAATATAAAATTTGGTATATTTGACTTTTACTTTTCCCTCTCTAAGTCCAACCGGTTTTTTATCAACTTTCACTGTGCGACGCTGGACAAATTTTAGAGTTTCAGCGAGCCCAAAAGAACAACTTGTCGAACTCCTGTAATAACAACCACGGCAACCTAATGGTCTATGTCCTGCCCGTTTGCGACGGCAAATACCACATACGATAGACGTAGTACAGTGAATTAAAATACAACGGCTCGGGTTTGCCAATGCCTGACGAGAAGTTTTGACCAATAGAAAATAGTCGCTATTGCTTCCCATCCGCTTTCCTCACTGCTGATACTTACAGCTCTAAGCTGCACTTCAAATTTAACGCAGTTATAAGTTCGTTTTTTATTTGCTTAAATACAGATTTATGTATTTAGTTCCTCTTTTTTATAAATGTCTAGTTTACTGAAGTGTTTTTTAAGTATCTATTTTTTCGCACGCGTTTCTCAATGCATTGTACGTATTTGTATGGTTTGCTTAATTATTTTTCATAGTTGTTTTATTTAGTTTTTTAAAACTAATGTATTTATGTACAGTGACGGGCATAAGAATTAGGACACCACACTTTTTTGGGTGTTTTTTTTTTGGTGTTTTTCGCTTTCGAAAGTGAAGTAGAATGTCTGATTATTTTAAATGAGCAGTTTTCGTATATAAATAAATATACAGTTACTGAAACAAGTGTTCACGAGTTGATTTTTTTTAAATCTTCACAAAATTTTTCAAGTTAATTTTTTTTGTTATTTTTCTATAAAAATATTGTCGAAGCTTTTACCAAAAATCATATAAAGCAAAGTTTCAAACTTCATACAAAATTTAGGAAAATTTTAATCTCTTTAATCTGAATTTTTACAAGCCAATACAATTTTAGTCTAATGAAGTGCAAGTTGAATGCTTTTGCGGTTTGTTTTATGTAACAAGTGCTAATTATAAAAAATGACGAACAAGCGGAGACCGTTCATAAGAAATTCGTGCGTATATGAAAAAACTTCGAAAATCCGTAAGGAAAAAAATTGTTAAAAATCAACGCGATTTTTTAGCCGCTTGAAACTTGCTTTTAATGAGACTAAAATTGCATACCCAGAAATGTTATAAAGGTTTAGATTAAAAAGCTTGAAATTTTGATGCAAATTATTCCCAAATTTTGTATTTAGTTTGAACCTTTACGGTTTTGGACAAAACTTGGACAATGTTTTCATAGAAAAATAACTTAGCTTGAAAAACTTTGGGAATATTAAAAAATAAATAAATCAACACGTGAACACTTGTTTGAGTCACTGTATACAATTGAAATTGAATAGATATTATATCCGAGAATATTCGGATAAGGTTGCCACCTATTCGAAATTATTTTCAAATTAAATGGCGCTTCGTAATAAAATGAAAAGTATTTTAGAGTCCCCAATTCAGAAAAACATATTTCTGAATAGGGTTGCCACCTATTTCAAATCATACATTAATTTAATTTTTTATTTAGAAAATCAGAATACAATTTTATTTGTTAGATATTTTATTACTTGATAGCAGATAAATTTACTTAAACTTAATGTTGTTTGGTTGATTGATCAAATAAGCTTTTAGTTTTAAGTTACAGCTTTCGCAATTGTGGGTTAGGTCCTGCGTAATCACAGTAATGATGACTGTATTATTCGTTATACCTTATCTGTCACAATTTTCACACTCAACACTGTAGGTACAAAATGAATACAAAGTTCTGTGTTCATAGCAAACATGCTGCACTTCGAATAGGATGCTACATTAAATTGTTTTACTAATATTTAAACAATGACTAGATCATAAAGCGTTTCCAGTTTATTTTATATCTGCTGATATGTACGTAATACATTATGTATTTCCTCAAACATGATTATTTACTCGCAGAAAATTATATGAATCCATCAATGCTTTGTGCGTCATTTAAAGTAAGCACCTGAGGGCTGAGCTATCATTGTTTGCCGCGTCAACACAATATTGGAACATTTCAGAAGGTTCCTATGATGTACAAAGGAAAGGCACATATGTAAATACATACATACTTAATTGATGGGGCTTTTTTTTCTACAAAAAGTGTTGAATTTTTATTGTCCTTTTTAGTTGGTAGTTGTGCGCACAGGGCAATGAGTGCGCCATAAGTGCTAATCAGCCATACCTTATGCTTATGAGCACGTTTTTTTTTTTATATATGTATATTTTGCATATGTACATACATATGTTTATAGTTATTCATTTTCATTGCATCGCTTTTTGTTTACCGGTCATCATAACTAACCAGTTTAACTGCCCATCAACTACATATGTAGTTAGCATGTGATAAGCGCGTAGTTGAGTAATCTGTCAAGCAACTAATTGCTGGATTCGATGTGCGTGCCCTTCTGTTTTGCAGTTTGTTTTATTTAATTAGTGTTCAATAACCTTTTAACTGGAGATTGTTGTTTAATATTTAAATTTGCGCTGTTCTCTCCTCTTTGTATTAGCTGTAATTTTCCATTCATGACCTCTTTGAACGTCGACCTTGATATTGTTCCTGCGTTGTTCGTGACAGGGGCAAACCTTGTATCCATTCTATATACACATGTACATACATTATTTTTTTTTTTTTGTTAGTGAAACTTCTTCATCGAGTTCGGTGATGTTTGCGTTAAGTGGTATATGGCGAATGCATAGCCTTTGGGTGCGGGGAGAGTCAAAGCCAAGGATATAGACAAAGATAATGACAAGGATAATGACAAGGATAATGACAAGGATAATGACAAGGATAATGACAAGGATAATGATAAGGATAAGGAGAAGGAGAAGGAGAAGGAGAAGGAGAAGGAGAAGGAGAAGGAGAAGGAGAAGGATAATGACAAGGAGAAGGAGAAGGAGAAGGAGAAGGAGAAGGAGGCGATAAAAAGATTAAGATTAAATTTAGGAGAAGAGGTGAGGATGAAGATGAAGAAAAATATAAAGATAAAGATGATGAAGGTAAAGATATAGACCAATCTATACATAGTATAAAGGAAAGTTGAGATTATTTGTACGCGGTAATCTCGAAAACTACTGAACGGATTTTGACGAGTTTTTCTCTAATATATTCTGTATCGAATTAGAATTTTAATAGGGTTGCCACCTGTTAAGAAAATTACTAACAAGCGTAGGCGTCAGATCTGCACCGTCACTGTCAAATGCAAAAAGACTTAGCCTCTGGATGTGTAATATGTAATGTATTATTTTTTTGAGTAGGGTTGCCACCTATTTAAAAACTATAAAATCTTCACCGTTCTATGGATAAAAAAATTAGATATCAAATGAAAGTGCGTGACTTTCGCATGTACAAAAACTTTAAGTTTTTTGAGTAGGGTTGCCACCTATTTAAAATTAATATCTTCTATACGTAATATAAAGGAAAGGCGAGATATTTTAACCACACGCTACTGAACGGATTTAGACATGATTTTTTATATATACAATAAACGAAGTACATGATGACATATGATTTCTTTCTCCAAATATGTAAATGTACATTCAGTTGCATACATTCAGCGCGTGGCGAATTGCTCAAATTGGTCAACTCCACAAAATTCAACCTAACCTAACCTAGTTACAAATTTGATTTAAAATTTACAACATTTATTTATTTATTTTTTTTAATTTTACATAGCATATAGATTTTTTAAGCTTATTATTTATTGTAAGTAAACTTAGCTTTGTAATCTTCGTTAAAATATTTACTTCGTCGGTTGGCGGCTTATATACGCCAGATGTATTACACTGGCGGTCAAAAGTGTATTGTTTAAAATGTTTTTCAAGCAATGTTTTGCTATTTTTTTATATAAATATGGTTCATGCTTTAACAAACACCATGTAAATTAAACTTTCAATACAATTTAGAAAAATTCAACAAATTTTCATCAAAATTTGGAGCTTTTTAATCAGAATTTTTACAAAATCTTTGGGTATCAGTTACAAGGCTTATTATATTTTAGTAAAACAAGTGCAAGTTTAAAGCGGCTAAAAAGGCGCATTCATTTTTAATATTTTTTTTGCGTTTTTTTTGTCATATAAATAGGGCAATTTAGGGAAACTGACGTTTGTTTTTTTTATTTTTTTTTTTTTTGCTGAGGACTTTTGTTTTTCTGTTTTCATATATATAGATCAATTTAGGAAAACTTAGTTGATCTCTTTTTCGTAAACGATCTTGCGCATATTCTTCCACAAGAAATTCCTGTTTATATGGAAAAAAAGAGCAAAACACCGTCGACAAAAAAAATAAAAAATAATCATTGCGATATTTAGCTTTATTTTACCAAAATTGTATAATCCTTGTAACTGCATACCCAAAAATTTTACAACAATTCTGACTAAAAAGCTCAAAAATTAGATAAACAATTGTGAAGTTTTTCTCTAGTTCTGTATAAAGTTTGATTTATATGGTTTTTGTTAAAGCGAGAACCATATTTTTCTAAGAAAACTATAAAAAAAAATTAGCTTGAAAAACCTTGTAAATACAAAACACCATTCATCCACTTTTGACGTCAGTGTAAGTACTTTTAAACTTAATAGCTTTTTTTCAAATCTTAGTACTTTGTCAGTTTAATTTTAACAACGTTAGCACGCGTACAACTTTTTAACACTTGTATACAAGTAAATATGTTAATTAGGGTGCATCACTCTCCATACAAAAAAAGTCGGTACTATTTTCCCACCGGAAATATACATTTTTTTTTTTATTTTAAGACTTCCGCTTAAATATTTCGGAAAATTTTTAAAATTTTCGTGAGCTTGGCCTTTTTGAAAATACCTCCAAAAATCAATTTTTTTTTTTTATGAAATTCCGTTTTTTTCTGAATTTTTTTCACCTTTGATGATAGCAGAGTTCAAGCTTAAAGGGTCTGCACAAAATGCTATAAAGTTTTATCAACGGAATCAAAATAATGAGATTTTTGGAGGTATTTTCAGATCGGTCTAGCTCACGTAAATCCTAATATTTTGCCGAAATACTTTGTCGGAAGTCTTAAAATATAATCAATTTTATAATTCCGGCGGAAAAAACGCAGTTTGATTTGGTGTTGCACCCTAATGTATTGCGCACACATACGTTAGTACGTTGCTTGATACCGCAACGAGCAACTCTCTTCCTCCGTTCTGTACAATTTACGCCCAGGCTTCAAGCGCCCAATTTCCTCCGCTTCCAATCGCAATTGCAGTAACTTTTGACGTACAACATAGGGCGTAAGCGAAGTACTCTGCAGCCTTTTCGCCCTCTCTGGCGCTTGCGCGCCTACACTCTCCTTCACAACGGTCTTCGGCACCGCTTTGCTGCTATCGCTTTTTTTCAAGCGCCCATCCTCGCTACGTGCCACATTTTCGCGCTCCAACAAAGCGCACCACAAATTTCGCGTATGCTGCTCATCCGCTTTGCGCGCCAACTCCTTTCGCTGTGAAGGCAACTGCAAATCCAACTGTCGATGCACACTAAAACACTCATCAGCATTTTGTAAGCGAAATTTTTGTAGAGCGCGTAAGCGTTCTGCATCCAACGATGCGTCAGCCGCGCAATTGTCATGACAATCACTACTTGCACCATTGCTAGCTATAGTCAGCGTAGAAAAGTTGTCACTTCGTGCTGCTATCAACTTCATTAGCTGTTTTGCGCTTTCATAGTATCGTCGCCGCTCAGTATATTCGTGTTGCAGCGCGCCTCCCAAATCACCGCCGCGGTTGTCGCTTTCACTTTTTGCCGCCACACTCAGCGCACGAAAATTATCGCCAAGTGCTGCCATAGTTACGGGTGTCGCTTTTAGTATTGTTGTTGGTGAAGCCGACAATGACGACGTCAACGACGTTGTTGGTGTGGGTGTTATCGCATTCGAGCTATGCGTTCTAGCTGACGTGGCGCAGGGCGTGGAAAAGGTGACCGTAGTCGCGGCAGAGTTGCGGCGGCTGAAGTTGGTGGCGGCAACGGCACGTGATTGCGAGTGTCCGAGGCCGCGACGATTTTTATCCGTTTCGATTGAGCCCGCTGATTTGCGTTTAATTTTAACAAAATCTGTCTTCGATTTGCTCCCCATCGCTGTTCTTTTATTAAAATTTTGTTTATCTTGTTTACTCTTTGTTGCGACACTGAAAACACTTCCGCTGCCCGTTGCTTTACGCTTGAAGCAATTCACATGGCTATTGCAGCAGGTCGATGCCACACTGTTGCAATAACACTTGCTAGCGTTTTGCACTCTTTTAAGGGACATTTTTTTATTGTAGCGAAAAACTATTAAATTCCAAATCAATTTTTTTATAATAATACGAATAATTTAGATGTCTGCCGCTCGCTTTAAACCCCAAAGTTCTAATACAAACCGGTTTCACTGTCCGTTGTTATGTTTATTTCTCACACTCGTCGCTGTTATGCTTGGGCTTGTTTTTGTTTACATTTGTATGTATGTATGTACGTCCCGCCGCTATGGCTGGCATGGTTGCCATAGTGTATTTGATTTTGCCAACGCAGTTCCACATGTCCACCCATAGGTGGCGCTGTGCGCACCCATTTTCTATTCGTTTCTTTACTAAAGTATCAAAATACTTACAGTGGCTCCAATAAATGACCACGCGTTGATTTTCTTCAAATGTTCGTAATGTTTTTCGCGCTAAATTTTTTTATTATATTTATATAAAAATATCGTCTAAGCTTTAACCAATACCGTGTGAATCACAGTTTCAAACTTAATACAAAATTTAGCAAAAATTCAACAAATTTTCTTCAAAATTTCAATTACACAATTTTGGTTAAAGCTTAGACGATGTTTTTAATGAAAAATAACAAAAAAATTTTGCTGAAAAAATATTACGAATATTTAAAAAAAAAACCAACACGTGGTCAGTTGTTTGAGTCACTGTATGTATTACTTTTTGTTAATAATGAAGTATCAGAAACTAGGAAAATAGCGCGTGAGTACCAAGTACTAATGAAATTTTATGTATAAACAACTGTGCACGGCTTGGCAGCCCAATAAACATTTTTGTTAAATCTTAATTTGAGTCGCATTTCAGCATCAATCGTTTTCTCAAATCTCAAATGGTAATTCTCAAATGCGTCTCAAATAACCGTTGATATTTAGCGATCTCAAGATAAAATGCGCTGTTTGATATGAAATTTTCTTTTATTTTCAAATTGAGAAATATTGAATTCTCAACTTTTTCTCAAACTTGAGTGGAGCGGAACGAAATGGAGAAACTTTTGTAAGAAAATATAAAGTACCTCTAAATCAGCAAGCCTTAAAACGATACTTACGAAAAAAATACTATTTGCGGTATGAAAACTCTAGACCCATAAGCGTTATGATTGAACCCATTGAAGAGAGGGGGGTAACACAAGTACAAGATAACTAATAGTATACATAGAGGACCTGGTTACAAGGTCAACACTTGATTCTGCCATTAAATCATTTTCCCGATATAAATCAGCTAGACCCGGTAGCTTTTTCCCGGCCATGGTTCAGAAATTAGATCCAATCTTGTCCTCATATCATCTCCCACATATCTCCCTTCTTTTGGTCTTTCCTTCCGCGTTATTATAAAATGGTCCTAGAATATAGGCTCCACAACAGACTTGCTCCTTTTTACCAGAAAGTATAAAATTTGGGAATGGAGAAAGCCTCAGATAGAGGGAGAGAGAGAAAAATCACACAAAACAGAAATCTTGTTTTATGGATTTACACCTCTACGATTAGACCCAAAATCCGCTTTGCATCTGTGGTGTGACGGAACAGACTCTCGATCAATAGCGCGGTGAAATCTGCTTGCCTAACTTCAAAGCACGGATCACCATGTGCTGAGCGGGAACTTTCCCTACAACACCTGGGGCGGATTTGGAGATATTTTGCTAAACCTGCTGCCACTTAATGTCTTTCTCCGTGAAGAGACTCTTGAGGCCACTTGTAGACTAAAAACGAATGGGTGGTCGTATGATACTGTGTGATGCGAGGTGGAAATTGCTGGTCATTATTGATATCTCTGTGCAGTTGGGAGTGTAGGCAACTTGTGGAATTGCTGAACGGATACTTCGCATAGCACAAACACCTGGCAGGGATTCCGCGCGGCAACCCCATTTTCTCTTCGTTGTTCGACAGATCACTTTACTTCTGCCAATGCATTTGCAAGGATTAGGGTTTTGGTATGAGGCTTTTGACAGCGTTTTGTTGTGATCTCTGACAGCTCAACCAGTTCAACGGCATGGAGCCATAGTCCATGTTTCCGCGCCACTTAAAAGGCCTGGAACGATGAGCATTTTGTGGAACGTAATTTCTTGTTCAGCGAGGGAGATGTGCTTTTCAACCGTGCCTACCGAGCTCGCAGCTACACCTGATAAATACTGAGCTGCTGATGCCATATCATTTAGCTTGAAAAAGTTTCAAGAAAGTGAATCGCCTTTGTATAAAGTCTCCTAAATCAAAATTCAAATAGGAAATTTATTCTTCAGATTGACCAAGTTTTGCAACGAAATTAAGAAATCAAATTTACATATCTAAGATCATCACATAATCGTGTATATTCCGCAAAGTTCGCCTCGGACGAACTGCGAAATTTGCTTTACTACCAACTGATACAAAAGACTTATGACACGAACTTGATAGAGTAATCGCTTGATTTTGTAACACGAAATCGAATTACTTTATTGCGATGAATTCAAATTTTATCAAATTAATTATAAGTATAGGCTTGGGCACTCTATAAAACTTCGAACTTATTTTTTTGCCTTTTTTTGGCAGTCATGTTGTAATTTTGGCTATAATTTCTGACCAACAGCAGGTGTTACTGTAGAAAAAATATGTAAACTAATTTTATTTGAAAATGGGGTACCGTTTTTTTTTTGCAAATATCCATTTTTCGAATGACACGAAAACTGGTTTCCGAAAAAAAGGCGAATAATCGAATACCCAGGTACGATCATTTGATCATTTCCCTCAATAAATTTTTCACAATCTACATATCGTTGCCTTAATATAGAAAGGCCCTATCTGACATCGTCGCTGATTTACAAAAAGTCGTAACTAACTAAAAATCGAAAATTTACGTTTTAATTGATTATGATGCATTTGATCGAATTATGTGGCCTCACATCGTTTTATGCAATAAAAGATTTTAGTTAGTTACGGCTTTGTGCATTTCAGCGACGATGTGAGATAGGGCCTTTCTATATTAAGGCAACGATATACTTGAACCCATTTGTTGTTATGTAATGAATGCGTAATAAAAGGCAGTTTACTTATTCTTGTTTTTTTTTTAATAATTTTCGTAATTTTTCTTTTCAAATTAAACTGTGCTAATGTTACAAGTGTTTTTTTTCATTTTAATTTTTTTTTTCAGTTGTACACTTAATGCTTAATTTGTTTTTATGTATGTATGCACATACCTTCAAAATTGTTTGTGTTTTTAATTATTTTATTTTTTACAATTCGCAACTAACTTAATTTATGCCTCGGCATTACCCATTTTTAAATTTAAATTATTTGTATCCATTTTTAAATTTTCTTTATAAACACGCTGAGTTATTATTATTTTTTATTTTTTCAAATTTGTTTATTACAATTGATTACGATTATAAATATGCATTAATTGGTATATTGTATTTATTTACTCATGTATATTGTATATAAACAATGCTTCACAAAATGTATTTGGGTATGCGCTTGAATATTTAGTTTTATAATTTGTATTGGTTTTGTATCGTTTTTGTTTTTCATATTTTTGGTTTTCTTTCATTTTTACTGAAACATGCGAATGCTGATCTTCGTTTGTAGTTTAAGTTTATCTGATTGCTTCCTGTTAAACGAATTTACATGTAATGCTTGTAAATAGTTTATATAGCTTTTTGTTTTTGTTTTTGTTTTTTTTTTCGTTTTTGGTACTATTTACTTTGTTAGCTTTCTCAACCTTTTATATGTACATACATACAAATTGCTTCTTAAATTTTGTAGCAAAATTATAGATGTAGAAAATAAATTTTATAGAAAAGAAACCCGTATAGCGCCGATAACAAACCGCTATCGCGCAATATACGAATACATCGAGTATCATCGATTAAAATTTAGCGCTTTGATTTTGACGGTCAAGCAAGCAAAATTTTGAATTCTTTTTGTTTTTTTCTTATTTTAGAGACCATTTCCACTGTCAGTTTTCTTTTAATTTTTGTACTTAAAATCGTTAAAAACAATTTACTCTGTTGTAACACAAATCAAAATTCCCACGATTTTTATGAGAAGTTTTTTCATGGCTTAAATACACTAGGCGGAGGGCGACTACTGCTAGAATTTATTGCAATAATAGAACTGTGTCATGGCCAATATACGCAGCCTTTTTTTAGGTGCTACACCCGGTTGATTTGTAAGGTAAATGTCCATTATTGAAAATACAAATAACGGGGCAACTCTGGCAAATGTCTTTCAACTCACAACAGTCTTTCGAAAGACAGTTTTCAATTCTGGCAATTATCTTGAAAGAGTAAAAGATTTAAAAAATAAAAATTATAATTTAAAACAAATTAAGTTTAAAAAAAAAACATTCCAACTAAACAAAAAATAAATAAAATATTTTTTTTTCTCTTAACGAAATGAAATTAAAAAATTATTTTCTTTTTGAAAATATAAAATCTAAAAAAAAAATAAAAATTGAGAAATTATAGAAATATATCTTTCTTTTTCAAACAATAAAATCTAAAAATTAAATTTAAAAAATTAAAGATTCTAAAAACTAAATGAAATTAAAAAAAATTATTTTTCTTTTTAAAACAATAAACTCTAAAAACCAAAAGAAAATTAAATTGAGAGATACAAATAAAGTCTAAAAATTAAAAAAAAATGTAATTGAATAAAGAAAAAAATACACGGTGTTTCACGGATCATGAACTTTTTTAAGTGACCCAGTACAGGTCGTAGGGCTGAACAGCGTTTAACATTTTTCTAATACCCTCAAATTCTCAACTTATTCTTCAAAAACCATTTTCGCATAACTTCCGACACCAAACAATTTTTAGCTCGGTTATTTTTTAACTAATTTTAAGTTGTTATATAACTTTGAAAAGAAGGATATTTGTACTGTTTAAAGAAATAATAAGTTTTGTGAACATATTGCAAACATGAAAAAATCTGAAACTTACGCCAATTTTTTATTATTTTTTCGACTTCTTCAAAATTTTTGGCAAAATTTCTAAAGAAAATATTCTCTCTTAAACACTACGTTGAAAAGAATGTTTCATTCCGAGCCAAACTGGGTACCATTTATAAAAATCAAGACAATTTCGGAAGTTATGATTTTTCTAAAGATTTTTCCAAAATCACTTCGATGTAACATCACAGAAAACTTGAATCAGTTGGATTGGATTCACTTTAAGTT